TTTTGTGAACTGCCCTGTTATTGTCAGATGCAGGGCAGTATGCAGATTTAATTAATAATAACTATAATTTTCTGGCAGATGACTTGAGAATTGTGCATCTTGACTGGGAGGGTTGGCTGGAGGTGCCATTTTCTGCTCTGCCTCAGGCAGCAAAATGTCTTGGGCTGGTCTGATTGGAATCATGCGGATTACTGCAACCAATCCTATTTGACCAAACAACATAATCTAAATGAAAAAGTGAACATTGTTTTTTAAAAGAATGCTGGAAATTGCTGGAAATCGGTAGTCTTTTTCTTCTTCAGCACAGCTGAAAAGGATCCCACATCTTCATAGATGACACTCTCCCATTGGTGTTTATGGTGAGTCATGCTGACCAATCCTTGAGCACTCCAGCTGAGGGCTGGCCAGGAAGGACAAAGGGGGAATGAGGTCCCATTATGCCATATGGGTGCCTGGGATCTGCATGAGAAACTTAGAGACTAATTCCAGGAAAGGAAAGAATGCCAGCTATTGTGCACATATGTTAAAGCGTGTCAATGTGTATTAATGAATCGGAACCACCTCCTTCAAAAGCTAGAGTTTATTTTTAATTGACCATAAGAGGCAAAATATTGTGTGTGCTAAACTGTCAAAAGGTCGGTTTAGAAAAGGCAGCATTTTAGGGATATAACACCAACAAAAACAACAATACATATATAAATCACACCTCAAAAAAGCAGAGTCTTATCTTAAAGAATACAGCGATTTCCGCTCTTTTCTTTCTGAAAAGCAATCTTCCCAAGTAGCAGAGTCACTTCGAAAGCATGGGTCTATTTCATGATTCTTTGAAAGTAATATTTGTGCAATGGATTCGATACTGTTTGAACCAAATGAAAATGAGAGGACTGGCTCATAACTTCAATACAAATGCTGCAATCGAATGTCCTTTTGGGCAGCTCACAATCATTCTGATTGAGTGTGTGCAGGAGAACTTCCTAGTGAATTGTGTCCAGAGAAATTGTATCAAATCTAATGGGGGGGGGGAGAGAAGAGGAGAATGGGGAAAAGAAAAGAACAGCAATTTGGCCTGCTTATAATTCCTTGCAATAAATACATGTGAGTTCTGTTTGCTTACCTCCTTTGTTATTGCCTTAGCATCAACCCTGCCATTGTTTTTTGACAGCTCATTCCTGAAAACCAGTTGTGTCAGCTCACTGGAGAGAGGAGGGGAACACTTACATGTTGAGCAAGCTACAGCTGGAGTCAGGGACTGGCTGGGCTAAGAGGAATGGTGGAAGGCACCAGCTGGGGGACCCCCAAGGGAAACCCCAGAGGTGCCAGGGGATAGGTGGTGGGGCACTGAGGAGAGGGATCTTCTTCAGAGGAAGAAGACTGGGAGGAAGTGATGGATGCAGCAGAGTTTAGTGAGCAGTGACAGGGAGCAGTTCAGTGTCTGAGTAGAGGAGGGAGGTTAAGAGACTGCTGAAGAATCCCAGGAGTCTCCCCCTCCTGCTGTGACAAGCTCCCCTTTCCCCAGTCTCAAAGAGCATGCAGAATAATGAAGAGAGCAGAACAGAGGCCAGAGGTGCACAGGCACCGTTTGAGACTGTTGGAAAACATCTGGGAGAGGAGGAGCCTGGAAAGTGCGCCATAGGGACAAGATCAACTGAGAAGTGTTGCCGAGTTGTGTGCTGTTTCCTTAAAGAGTTGACTGACAACAGAGCTCTGTTTCTTTTGTGATTACTTGTATCTGACCCCAGTCCTGACATCTGGTGTGCTGACCTAGCCATTGGGATGTTTGGATTTTGTAGACATTGCACATGAACACATTTGCATGGTCCACTCTACATGAGCATCATGTTCTTTGCTAGCTCAGAGGACATGAAAGGTGGTGTCAAGGGACAGGAGCTGGCAGAGCCAACCTGGTTCATTTTGTGAATATGATTGATTTGATTGATTGATTGATTGATTGATTGATTGATAAATTTATCCACTTGGTTGTAAAAAAAACCCAACCACCTACCTTCAAAGCAGAATATGACTTTTGCTAATTCAGGTTATCAGGACTGTTCACAAGGAAGGTCCCTTGGCTACAGTGTGTGTAGCCTGAGCTGCCATTAATGTAATAAGGGCAGGAGCAAATCTCAGACTCATGTGACCTTCCAGTTTCTGTAGTTCAGCAATGGTGAGAAATGAATTCCATTTCAAAACATCTGGAGGTCACCAGATTGGGGAAGGCTGTGGTAGATCCTATGACTGAGCTCACATGCACTGTCACAAAAACACACACATCCCAATGCATGAAATTCACCCTTGTGAACAGCCCACCACATGCCTGAAGCAAAGAGTCAAGTTTCAATGAAAAAGTCAAACTAAATGGAACTCTAACCGCATGAAAAAACATGCAGTTGCCCTACATGGACAACGGTATAGTTAATAGTGTCCACTAAGGCTTATAAACACACATATATTTCACATTCTAGTTTCTCGGTATTAAAATGGAATTCTAGGAAGTTTTGCCCAAGTGAAGAGTTGTGAAGAACCTTTTTCAAATAAGTAATAAAGCTGAGAATCTTTGGCTTCAAAGCTGCTCACTGAGTATAGGAGCATAATGAATTAAGCATCTTAAAGAGGTATCCTGGAAAAAAATACACCCAAGTTGAATAAAAGAAGACCAAGAAATCCCACAAGCCATGTTTGGCTTCCCACGAGTTCCACCAGAATGTTAAGTGGCAACTCACTCAGTATTTAAACTGCATTCCAAGAAGGCTTTGATAGAGATATAAAAACAGGGAGCAGATAATGCATTCAACTTGATAAAAGAAACCAATCTAGAGGACAGAGATAATTTTGGAACTCTACCACTGATATAATCAGCAGAACAGGGGCGGTTTAAAAGTTCACAATATTACCTGATAACAAGCCAATTTCAGTTTAATGCAGGAAATGCTATTGTAAAACCATTCCTTTCGTCCTTAGAGACAGGCACGAAAAAGCAACACATAAAATGAAGTGCAGCTTCAGACTGCTGTTAAGTATAAATCCTTGTCTGTGAAATCTTCCACCCTATTTTCTCCATTATATCCACAACCAAGAGTTCATTGCCTTGAACTCCTAAGCTGGCCTACATTTTGCACTGGACAAGTCGCATTGGGTGGGTGGGTGGGTGAAATCAAATCAAAAGCATGATTGGAAAGGATCCTCTTCCATACCTTAATCAAAGAACTTTCTCATAAGTTCAAAAGCACATTCTCATAATATGTTCAAAAGCTGGCTATGGAAGTAGCCTTTAAAAGTATGTTATTTTACCAGGAGGCAGGCAGTAAATGCATATCTATATTCTGCGAAAATAATAAGCATTCAGTATTGCTCAGCAAGAATCAGGTGAGGCTCAAGGCATTAATATGCCTCACCAAAAATTCAATCCCATGATTTTTTTTTTTTAAGTGCCAAAAGTTCACACTTGGCCATGGAAGCTACTAGATGCAGTTAACACTATAGTATATAATGAGAAAAGTATGGCATTTTATATGCAACTAAAAGAATACAGACAAGGTAGAGCTCAACTCTTGCCCACTGAATACGTACATACGCAGGAAGAGCTGGTTTAGTGTAGTGGCTAAGATACTGAGCTGCGAATCTGAAGATCCCCAGATTGAATCTCACCTCTGACATTAACTCAAGCCCTAAGTACACTATAGACTTAAAGCAGTAGCATGCCACCTTAAACAGACCTGGCTTTCCACAAAGAATTATGGGAACTGTAGTTTGCTAGGGATGCTGAGAGTTGTTAGGAGGAATCTGGTTGGCCATTGTGAAAACAGGATGCTGGACTAGATGGGCCATTTGTTTGCTCCAGCAGGATCTTCCTATGTTCTTATGTGTGTTCTTAAGTAAAGGTAAAGGGGCCCCTGACAGTTAAGTCTAGTCGTGAACAACTCTGGGGTTGCGGCGCTCATCTTGCTTTACTGGCCGAGGGAGCCGGTGTTTGTCCATGGACAGTTTTTCCGGGTCTTGTAGCCAGTATGACTAAGCTGCTTCTGGCAAAACCAGAGCAGTGCACAGAAACGCCATTTACCTTCCTGCCAGAGTGGTACCTATTTATCTACTTGTGCTGGTATTTTCGAACTGCTAGGTGGACAGGAGCTGGGACCAAGCAATGGGAGCTCACCCCATCGCGGGGATTCAAACCGCCAGCCTTCCGATCAGCAAGTCCTAGGCTCAGTGGTTTAGACCACAGCGCCACCCGCGTCCCTTCAATGTGTGTTCTTAGGGGAAACCTATCCCCCTCCCAGAGAATACAGTTCCCAGAGCCCCTGCAAACAGAGACTGACTGTTAAACCAGCCCAGGAATTGGAGCTCTGGAAGGGGAATTGGGGCCCTTTACAAAGCTCAACACCTTTAACAAAATACAGTTCCCAGGTTTCTTTGGGGGATGCTATGACTGTTTAAAGTGGTATGGTAGTGCTTTTAATGTATAGTGCAGATGGGCCCTCACTTAAATGGCCTTAGTCAAACCACTAAGTGGTTTCTCAGTCTCAGCCTCACCCCCATTTTCAATATGGGGGAGAATAATATTGATTTGCCTTACAAAAGTATAACAGCCTTATGGGGTTGTTGAATAAATTGCTGCTATATAATGTATGTGAAGCACTTTGAACACTTAAAAAAACCGCACTATACAAATGATACATATTATCATTAAGGAACCTTCTAAGGTGCTCCACTTTAAACACAGGTGCAGATTAGGGATGAGATGAAGTGGTGAAGAAGGGAAGTTATTTTGCTTTTCCACCCAACCAGGTGAGAATTCTGCATGGAACAGAGGAACCTATCTTGATACATGCATTCCTCACTGTTAAGGCTATTTGTGTACTACTGTCTTTGACAAAGCATTGTGCTCGTGACCTCTGTCTAGGTCTAGAAATGCGTGTGGATTGTGGGATGGGAAGGAATATTCTAGAACCAAATAGAAACAGCTGAAGATTCCCAAACTTCCTTCAGAAACACCATGGAGGATTCCACTAAGCACCACCTTAAGGATGCTGATCACTATCTGTAGAATAAGTGTGGTTCCTGACAATGCAAAAACCATTCATCCCTACACTAAATGTAACTTACATGGCACACTGGTGGATGTTAGTCCAATCAAAAATAGACCTCGTGCATTGCATACGATTCTGTTCATCATAGTCTTTTAGGGAATCTGAACCTGTATTTTGAAGGGATCAGGGGGAGCTCTTCAACATAATCCAGAGTACTTTATGAGCAAGCAGAAGGCTATGCACAGGCCGCAGCAATTGCTTACTCTGCTTCTGGCGATCTCTGTGTTGCAATGGCTATATCAAGGCATGCGAAATAATGGGCATGGATATGTATCTTGCCTTGGTGGATGTGGTCTCTTGCTCCCCCATACAGCACTAATGTTCTGTAACGTATATCCATTACGTCAGATCCATGTGTGGGCAACTGTTTCTTCGTGGTGTACATATGCTGGACTGGGTGAATATTTATAAACTGGGATTAGCTATTTGGAATACATGTATGCCCATAAGATTTTTCCTTATTTACATTTTAAGTGTGCTTAAGTCAATAGGCTGTGTGCGCAAAGGGCTGTGTGCAGCAGCATATGAATACCTGCATACCTACTCACTGTGTAACATGTAGGTTGATTATTTTTTTTAAGCCAACTAGGAAATTCAGCCAAAAGAATTCTGCTATCATGCTCACTGCATGCACTGAAGATTTCAGCTTTTGGCTTCTCTTGTTTTCTACTGCTTAATCCCATATTTGAAGTCGGATACCATAAATCAGTGTTATTAATGAATAGCTGTCATGGCACTTAGTACTTGGAGTTGGGAGGCTGTGGGCACCTCTACCAGCTACAAGCCAGGCTGTTAGCAAAGTTCAGTGGCCACGGGGCGACCTTCTGCAGACTGCTCCTCCTTCAAGGGAAAGAGGTCCTTTTAAGTTGCAAACGGGATGGCACGGTCTCTTTTTATCGAGGTGGCCTTGCACTGCAGACACAATCGCAACGCTCATGGTGCTCCAGTTGAATATCGATCAGCGCCATATTGTTCTTGGTTCTGCCCCTCCTCCTGATGTGACCTGCTTCAGGGATGAACCTCAGCACCTGGGAAGGAAAGCAGACGCTTTGTCAGTGCCATTGGAACACCGGAAGCTGCCTTATGTGGAATCAGACTACTGGTTGATCTAACCCAGTATTGTCTACATTGACTGCCAGTTGCTTTTAGGAAGCAGTTTCCCCCAGCTCTACCTGGAGACTCCAGGGATTGTACCTGGGAGCTTTTGCTTGCAAGGTAGATGCTACATCACTGAGCTACAATGTGCATGCAAGGCCCTTCCCCGGCCAATGTGGTAGGAAAGGGAATGGTCAAGGCGTGGGCTGGACCAGTGTTGTGTTAAGTTTTGTATTTGGCAACACATACCTGTGAGCTCTCCATGGTGCTGACAAGCTGCCCTTTTGCCCTGCTACTCTGCTTGTGATCTGGCAGTGCCTTACTGCAGTGTTCCCCAACCTTGGGCCTCCAGCTGTTTTTGGACTACAGTTCCCATCATCCCTGACCACTGGTCTTGCTAGCTAGGGATTATGGGAGTTGTAGTCCAAAAACAGCTGGAGGCCCAAGGTTGGGGAACACTGCCTTACTGGATTTGACTGGATATTTTACAGTGGTACCTCGGGTTAAGTACTTAATTCGTTCCGGAGGTCCGTTCTTAACCTGAAAATGTTCTTAACCTGAAGCACCACTTTAGCTAATGGGGGCCTCCCGCTGCTGCCGCGCCGCTGGAGCCCGATTTCTGTTCTTATCCTGAAGCAAAGTTCTTAACCTGAAGCACTATTTCTGGGTTAGCGGAGTATGTAACCAGAAGCGTATGTAACCTGAAGCATATGTAACCTGAGGTACCACTGTAGATAATTTATTACAGTCAAATACCAGCTCACATAACATAATGCAATAAAAACAGTGTTCATAAAGATAAAATATACAATCAGAACAGATTGCAGCAATAGCTCTTGAGTTAAAGTTGAGATATATACATACACCCGTACAACTGAGATTTGGGCTACCATAAAAATTTGACCCTGAGGTGCCCCAAAGGGCAACTTCAGCATTGTGTCTAAGTCTCCAACTATCAATCAAATTACAATTTTTGACTAATGTGAAAAAGGTTTTAGGTAGTTTTCCATCTTTACCGCTTCCCTCCCTGAGTCTATCCATTTCCAAGGAGACCACCCCGTTCATATCCCCCAGTATTATCAATTTTTGGTCTACGTATTCCAATAGTTTTTCTTCCAAATTTTTAAAGAAATCTGATTTATTGTCATTTGGAGCATATATCCCGATAATAATTAAATTTTCTCCTTGCCACTTTATTTGGACCGCCATTATCCTTCCCTCTTGATCCTTAAACATTTGTTGCGCTTCAATTTGCCTTTTAGTATATATGACCACTCCTCTCTTTTTATCTTTGTCTGAGGAGATAAACTCATTTCCCAATCTTTTATTTATCAGTATCCTTTTATGTCTTCTTGCTATATGAGTTTCTTGTAAGCAAATGATGTCTGAGCTTTCTTTTTTTAGTATTTGTTCAATTTTATTTCGTTTTTTCTTATCATTCATCCCATTAACATTCCAACTAGTGATTTTTAATACCATGATAGGTAACCTAAGTTTTCGCTTATATTCTTTTGTGTTTTAACTGTTTCTTATGCTTCCTGTTCCTCTTCTTCTCCTCCTCTGCTTTCTACTTCTTCCTCTGGTTCTGAACCCCTTGCTGCTTCTTCTCCTATTTCTTCTTCTTTCCCTAATCTCAACTCTTTGTATTTTCTCAAGAATTTCCCAGTTTCCTCTGGGTTTGTCAACCTGTGTCTTTTGCTTCTATAGGTAAATGAAATCCCTTCCGGGAATTCCCATTTAAATTCTATGTTATTTTTCTTTAGCGTTTGCACGATTGCCTTGTAAGATTCTCTTCGTTTCAGTATTCTAATTGGTATGTCTTTGAAAATTATTATGTAATTCCCATTAATACACAGTCTTTTTCTCTGTTTTTTGCAAAATCTTGTTTCTCATTTCCTTATCTCTAAATGTAATCAGACAATCTCCCACAAATTTTTTAGCCCTCGTTGTTTTAACTTTTAGTCTAAAAGCGGATTGTATCGTGCTTGCTATCTCCTCTGTTGGCATTTCCATCCATTGTGCTAGTTCTACTACCAATTTCTCTTTAATATTTTCTCCTTGTGTTTCTGGTATTGCCCTAAGTCTCAGATTATTCTCCCTCTGCCTCAATTCATTCATAGCAATTGTGTCTTTCATCTCTTCTTGCGCTTTATTCAATTCTAGAACCTCTACTTTCAATTTATCCTCCTCCCGCCTTACTTCTCTTATTTCTAATTTCATTTTTTTCACACCTTCTTCTACTACTTGAGTTCGCCTAAAGGCTTCCTTTATCTGTCCTTTTAGTTCATTAACTGTTTCCTCCATTTTTTTGTCCATTTTTCCTATCTTATTGTCTACTTGTTCTAATTTTTCTTCTAAATTTTTCTCACTTTGTCTGATTTCCGCAAACATTTTTAATATATCTGCTTTGAAATCTGCTTCCTGTTTGGATCCCTTTCTTTCTATTGGGGTCCCTCCTTCTGTTCTCTTTGCTGTATTCGACATTGTCTCTATCAAGTTCAAAATTCCCTGTTCTTCACTCTTTGTTATACACCTTATTCCCTCCCTAGTCCGAGATATTAAATATAGGCAACAGCTTGTTCCAAAACCCCAATATAGTCCACAGATTATGCCCAATTACAGCCACCCCAATTGCATCAACCAATAATACTGTTCATATTAATATGCCCACAGGAGAATTTTCAACATTCCTGCGTTCTATCCGTTCCTCCGTTCTTCTTCTTGCCTCCACTCCAATTAATCCAGATGGTTAGTTTGGGGTCTTTTTCTTTTGCTTTGCTTTGATGTTGCCAGTCACCAGTTTTCCAGATGCAAATTGTTCTCAAATTTAGGATCCGCCCACTCCCCTGTGTGCCAGTATTGTGGGAGGGCTTTCTAACCCAAATGGAAATCACCAGATTGATATTCTATCAGCCAATGTCTTTATCAGTCATTAATTTCAAAAGTCACAGTATTGTCTATTCCTATTTATTACCTGTTGGGATTACTTGAGAGATTGAGGAATTGAGAGAAAATGAGAAATTAGAACAATTAGGAGACACAGAAGAGGTTCCTCAAATCCGTGCAGTCCTTCGTTAGAAATGTAGCAGTGTGAGCAATGTGGACAGGTTCTCAAAAAAAGAAAAAAAAGAACAATTGTTTTGTCTTGTTTTGTCCACTAGATGGCCTCCTTGGTCCTTTGTCTTTGTCTCTATCAAACAGACCCCTTCTTTTCTAAAGTAAATTTCCGGAAGTAAGAAAGTGGTTTTCAAGGGTTCGTTAATTGTTCTTTAGCACACACAATCTCCAAGTTCTCAGAGTCCTTAAATATCCCAGCTAATGCTGCCCACTGAGGATAAAACAGTCTCTAGTTTCCAGTTATATTCCGTTTTGCTTCTCTCTGCACTCCCAGTCCTGTCCCCCTCCTTGCTTTCTCGCTGTTAGAATGCTGGTGAAATTGCTGCTGAGAACGCTGAGAGCGCTGCTGGAAACGCTGCTAAGATAGAGGGGGGGCGGTCTTCTTTCCCCGCAAATCTATACCCCAACTCATTAGGGATAACAGCTCCTTAAATAATGCTTTCTGTTCCCTGGTAAAGTTCAGCCGGCTTCAATACAAAGTATCTTCCCTCGCCGGTTGTTTTTAAAGTTGCTACTTTTCAGGGAAACGGAAGTAACTCGCTAATATATTTCACTCCCTCACGCCGCTGTGGAGATTACCTTGCGTCTTGTAGATTCCGAATGACAGCCGAACTCCGTTTATTTCTTAAGCCCCCCGGGATTTTTAAGTTCCAAAGTTTTCCAAACTCAAATTAGACCCGGGTTTCGTCTTGTTTGAGAATGTCACGCTTCTCTCGGCGAGACCGGGGCTTCACTGCTCGGGGGTAGGTAATGGCTTCCCTTTGACCTGCCGCTCCACCCGCCGTTCTCTTCACTTCAATTATTTCTGAAGTTACCTGACGGTCGAGCGAGCCGCTGGTGGTCTTGCAGGGTTCCTTGCCCTCTTGACACCTTTCAAGAGGTGTTTTGGGGGGCTTCCGCGCCCTGAAGCACCCCCTTTTCCCCAAAGTAGCTCGGGATTTTCCCAGCGGCAAAATCCCCTCCCGCAACGAGAACGCGCTCCACCGGAAGTCTCCTGAAGCAAAGTTCTTAACCTGAAGCACTATTTCTGGGTTAGCGGAGTATGTAACCAGAAGCGTATGTAACCTGAAGCATATGTAACCTGAAGCATATGTAACCTGAGGTACCACTGTAGATAATTTATTACAGTCAAATACCAGCTCACATAACATAATGCAATAAAAACAGTGTTCATAAAGATAAAATATACAATCAGAACAGATTGCAGCAATAGCTCTTGAGTTAAAGTTGAGATATATACATACACCCGTACAACTGAGATTTGGGCTACCATAAAAATTTGACCCTGAGGTGCCCCAAAGGGCAACTTCAGCATTTCACTAGTAAGCTATTGATTTGACTGAACTTCCAAGCTAGCCTTGCTGTGATTCTCCTCTTTGGGGTGTGGCCTCTGTCCTTATGAGCACCAGCTGAGTCCCCCATGTGACCCTAAGCTGGAAGAACATGGGACAGCACTCTTCTTGCTTGTGTTGCATCAAAGTGTTAAAACCTTCGTATACAGGAAGGCTATTGACCTTCAGATGCTGAGTTTTATCTTTTGGGGTTTTATTTTTATGATGTCTCTTACTTCAGCTTCCCACCCCCACCCAATTGTTCTTTCTGTATAATAGTGCAGTTTTATTGCATCACTATTTTGCAAGCCACCTTGAAGTATACGATAGGGTATAAATCAGGAGTGTGCACCAGCCACAACATTTGGTTTATACCCCAGTCTGGCTCTTCAGAAACAGTCCTATTTGGTCTTAAGTGCTTTGGTAGCTACCTGGTTTGGTTCTGGCCTGAAGTCAAATCCCAATATGGAAATTGAACCAATTTA